GTGCTGCTGCAGCATCGCCTTCAGAACAGAGACACGCCGGGCATACACGTCCTCCTCATCATCAGCTGCTGCTGCTGCTGCTGCTGCTGCTGCTGCTGCTGATGCAGCAGGTGCAGCAGCAGCAGGCGCAGCAGTAACAGATGCAGTAGCAGCACCAGTTGCAGCTTCCGCTGCAGCAGAATTTGATGCGTGTGCTGCTGCTGCTGCTGATGTTGCTGCTGCTGCTGCTGCTGCTGCAGGAGCAGCAGCAGCAGCAGCAGCAGGTGTCTGGGTGCTGCTTGCGTTGCTTGTAGGAGACAGAGAAAGGAAGCTGCTGCTGCCGATGCAGTTTGCTGCTGCTTGTCTTGTTTCCTGCTGCAGCGCGAAGGAGAGACATCTCCACAGGTCAATCAACATTCTGCTGCTGCTGCTGCTGCTGCTGCTGCTGTTGCTGCTGCTGCTGCTGCTGCTGCTGCGGCTGCTGAAGCAACGCAGCACCGCCATCACAGCCACTCGCAAAACAGCAGCAGGATAAGCCCCTTCTCCAGCTAGCTGCTGCTGCTGCTGCTGCCGCTGCAGCAGCAGAGACTTTCGTGCTGCTGTTCGGGTTGCTGCTGCTGCTGCTGCTGCTGCTGCTGCTGTTGCTGCTGCTGCAGGTGTGCAGCAGCAGCGTCTCCTACGGCGTGAGTTTTGCTGCTGGCTTGCTGCCCCTTCTCTCTCAGCAGCAGCAGCAGCAGCAGCATCTCTTCCTGCTGCTGCTGCTGCTGCTGCTGCTGCTGCTTGTCTTGCAGCAACAATTTGCTGCGAGAAGGTCACCTCCAGCAGCAGCAGCTGCAGCAGCAACGGACGCAGATGGTATGTCTCCTGCTGCAGGCTGACTGTCTCAATACAATCTGCTGCTGCTGCCCACAGCTGCTGCCGCAGCAGCCACAAACGCATGCGTCGACTTGCTGCTGCTGCTGCTGCTCCTGCTGCTGCTGCTGCTGGTGTTGCTGCAACAGCAGGAGCAGCAGCAGGACTATCAGCAGCAGCAGCAGCAGCAGCAGCTGGTTCTGCTGCTGCTAGTAACAAGTCCTTGGCGCTCTGCTGCAGCTGCGGGGGTCGCGCTGCTGCTGCAGCAAAGACACCGACCGCAGCAGCACTGGCAGCAGCAGCGCAGCAGCACGAACCAGCTGAGGGTCCTTGCATGTAGCCTGCAGCAGCAGCAACAGCAGCACCAGCAACAGCAGCAGCAGCAGCAGCAGCAGCAAAATAAATAAATTTATTTTATTTCTGTTATAAATAAACAAACAAATTAATTTAATTTCCCTATAAATATAAATATAAACATAAAATGTATTTATTTA